GCCACTTTTTCCAGCTGTCTCCCCAGGTTTCCTCCGAGGAGTGAGCTCTCTGCTGCTCTGCAGAGGCAGATAAATGAGCTGTGCTGTAGGTTCACCAAGGCTTCAGCCCTTTACAGCTAGATTAATGATGCTTTGCAAACCCTGAGTCTTTGCTTTTAGCATTTCAGAAGTACCGTCATAAAATGAACTACAGGTACATCTTGTTTATAAGCTCATCTATTGGGGCATCTTTCCTGTGGYCATGACAAAGCTTACATCAATAAACCTGACTCTCTGTGTAGCATTTCTAAAAAAAAAATAAATAAATAAATAATTAAAAAAAACCTAGAAAAGATTTCATCATTTTAAATGATCGCATTAACATGCAGTTTTACTAAATATAACACTTGGGAAATAAGTATTTTCCAAAATTTCTCTGTCAGCCCAAGCTACCTGTCAGTTTTCATCACTGTGGCTAAATTGCATGGTAAGCCCCACACACCGAAGCCTGCATTGAATTGTCACAAGTAAAAAAGAGAGGTGAAGCGTTGGTGGATGGTGCCATGAATTGGTAATGTTATTGGATATCAGCCAGGTCATGGCCACCAGAAATGTTGACCTGCACACTAATCCTGGATAGCAGACGAATCCACAGTAACACTTATATCCATTCTAGTGTTTCACAGGAGGCCTTCACACAAATCATTTAAAAATGACGTGGGATTGATATTTTGGATGTGGTAAAAGTTCAATTACACTTTCCTCAGAGGATGTAAAGGAACTTGACATTTTAGGATTTATGAATGCAATATAGGTCAATGTATTTTTAGTTTCAGGTCTGGTTACTGCCAAACAGRAGGRGACAATACATCTATATTTYTATGTGTTTGTTTCTCTCTCATGRTAGCAAAATATCCTTTAAATTAGGGRTATTCAACTAAATTTCTCTGGGGGCCACACACTGAAAAAAATACCTTGTAAGATTTACTTGAAAAAATCCTCGTAACAATGGGCRTCATGCAAGAACATGTTCGTATTCTTATCCTAAATTTCTCTTACTTTTGTTCATACGAAGGGTTCGTACGAACATGTCATGTCAGATTCAACAAACTCTTCTATCTTCAGGAAAAGTGTGTAAATGAGCTGCMTAAATTCCACCTGTTCGTATCCAGCTGCTTGTGCACGCGAGAGGAGGTTAGCATAATTACCACCTCAAAAACACCATATTAGGCTATGTTTCCTGCCTCAGATATCAGGAAGTGTCCATTCATGAAAAATGACAGCGAATATTAACAAGAAAAACTTTGCGACTTCAGAGATTGAAGTCCGTCTGTCAGAGATCCAGAAAAGAAAATCTGTCATTTTTAGCAGGTCAGCTGTGGAATAAAAAGAGCTGCTAAAAGTATAAAGAACTGTGTTAAATCATTTTCATTTATTCAGAAGCCGCAGCGCTGCGCACCGTACCCCCCCCGCCACCCACCGCGCGCGCTGCACGGTCGCAGGTGGTCTCAGTTGCGGGTTTGAAATAAGCATTTTAAAATGTTTTAAAAATATTTCTGGCACTTTGGAGAAAACCCAGGACTTGCTAGAGGGATTATGTATCCCCTCTGGCCTGGGAACGTCTCGGTGTCCCCCAGGACGAGCTGGAAGGTTTCGCTGGGGAGAGCGGGGTCTCCTGCTGCCCCCCAGGACCCGATCCTGGATAAGCGGCAGAAAACGGACYAACGGACAATTTATATTGTTAGTCTAAATTATTACATTTAAAATTATAACTAACGAAATATAAAGTTATTAGTGAGGAAAACCCGTCTGGGTAACAGCAGACTGACTGCTCGTAAAATATATGACAGGTCTGGACCACTCGTGAATTTTGTTCGTATCTGAAAAAAATCTTAGAATACGAAAACATTGGTGAATGCCACAAATTCTCCTAAATCACTCGTACGCACAACTTAAGAACAAATCTGTGCGTACAAAGGGTTCTTGCATGAGGCCAAATTTGCACTAACATTTGTTAAGTAAATTTAAATGCTACAAATTCATGTAATATTTACTCATCATTATCTAGTAAAAGTTATTTAAAAATTATGAACAAATCAGGTAAATTTTACTTAATTTGCTCAATTAAATCTTGTAACATATACTTAATCAAATTAAGTAAAATGTACCTGGTTTATTCACAAATCTTTAACTATATTCTTAACAATTTTTACTAGATAATGATGAGTAAATATTACTTGAATTTYTTGCATTTAAATTTACTTTAACATAAGTGCAAATTGTTACGAGAATTTTTTCWAGTAAATCTTACAAGTTCTTTATAACAGTGCACATGCGTCAAGCACAATATTGTAACATGACACCTCACAGCTACAGAGAGAGCTGTAGCTCATGTTGTAGTTCAAGACTTCACCACCAGATGGCAGTTTTGAAGAACCTTTATTGGATTCTTCTTCATGAACAACACAGACAAAGTGAAACTCACAGGTGTTATTAATGACTGGGCCTACCTCTCTCACTTATGATTACTTTTGCTGAATGGTTTAACACAAGTTAACAAATAATGAACACACAAATTAGAGTAACACAACAGACTAGTTGCTGAAAGAACAATGTTAACCAATTCCCTAAAATGATTTAACAACAAAAAACATGAATCCTACCCACAATCCTCCACTGCAGTCACATGACAAACAGRCAAACACAGCAGAATGCTACAATATGCATTCATAAAAGAACTTATTGTAATTAAAGTAGAAACCCAGGTGTATGGACTAAAGAGAATAATGAACCAATTGGCGGGCCGAACTTTGGTCACTCGGGCCACCAGTTGAATAGCCCTGTGTTAAATCAATGGACAGATTTTGTAGAATCCTTAGAAGTTATCATTTGATGTTCATCTACAACTTAAGGATCCAAAAGTACACCTGATAACTTTGAAGTCAACCCAGTTCGAGGTGATAGCCACAGTAAAAATAATCAAAAACGTTTATATTTCAGTAGTTTTACAAATCGGATCAGTATCACAGATACCAGCATGAGTTGTACTCGGTATCAGAAAGGTAATTATCAAACATCACTAGCTGTTGCATTAAAGGGGAATAAGGAGATATGAGTTTCATCAAGGGATGCTATGCCTTTAATTACTTCTCATTGTATTTCCAGTTTTTACAATTGAACTACACTAAAGCTACTGTCCATCCATTTTATTATAAAATCAAAGGATCCCTTGTAGGAGACAAATAAATATTCATATTATTGGATTTCACTTTGATAATGAAGTTTAAGCCTCGTGATATAGCTTTCTAACCTGTAGGAAGATGCCAAAGCATAAATAAGCACACCTCTGCTTAGGTTATCCCARGGGGAGTTATCCTACGTCTAGTACACCCACATTACTTTGCTTCCTCTTCTCCACCTCTACAATAAATCTGGAGGGGGGCGTTAAAAGAAGAGAGAAGAGGAAGATGTGAGGAAGAGAGTAAGGAGGGACAACTAGAGAGGCAGTATTGATTCCCTGATTCCCGTACCTCTGCCAGTGAGTGTAGAGTGTCAAGATCTCCTGCCAGGAAAAACAAATCACAAGGCAGAAGTGATGGATGTGGCACTCCGGGATCCGGCGGTTTTGCCATCTGGATGGCCAATGCTGTATATCAGCCTCATGCACAGCAAATTAAATTTACATTTGGACGGCTTCCCCGGGCCTCACGCTTCGCAGATGCACAAAAACCAGCCCCTCCCAGCACAACGCCCCTAATGGCTTTGATCTATCATTTCCAGGTCTATTATGTAAAGATGATTTTGGACCTTGTTCAGAAAGTCAAAATTATGTTACAGTCACAATAAAATCTTATTATAAGCAGCCAAATGGATGTTCAGCAAAATGACATCACCTTTCATTTATATAAGCTGAGTCAATGCTAATCTAACTATGAAATGTTTTCATGCACATTCAAACATTAGTGGCATAGGAGAACAAATTCAATCAAGGCCAACGTCCGCTTTTGTTTTGGGAACTTGTGATTCACATATTATTCGATTTACTTTGTGGCTGCTGCAAATGCAAGCCCGAAAATACGGCGGTCTTTCTACAATAAATATTACCAAACAAGGTTTTGATGATTAAAAGTTTTTTGCACGATAATAGCAAAGAAGTACGAGGCGAAGGTTTACTGTCTAGCAGCAGCTTATTCTGTTTAACAGCACTTTAAAGCAAAGATCTAACCCYGCCCTGAAGAGGCTGCCGTGCTTAAATGAAATGACCTTTAACGCAGAGCTGATCAAATGGCCTGAGGCAAGACTATAAAAGAACATTGCAGTATAATGTTTTACAGTGTACCTTTTTTTTCCTGGTGTGCTGTTTGCCCTTTCCCTTTTTTTCCAAGACGGTAAAATGGATTGTGTTTGGCAGGTGAGGAAGTGCCCTGAAAGCAGTCTAATATGGATTTGGTATAAGAGTAGACGTGGCAGCAGCATAAAGATTTTGGTTTATTTTGTATGCTTATTCTGTAAAAGAGATACTGATTCACAARGAAAGAAAGAAGAAAAATATTGATTTAAATCTTTGCTGCTTCATCCCTTTGTTCTTGATTTTTTTTTAAGCTTTCATGGCCCGTTGTCCTCTAAATGTCAGAGGTGCTTTTTGATGGCTCTTAACAATCCCTTGAAGGGCTTTGCAAAGCCACAGACTGAAACACAAATTGAGCATGTGAGTTGACAATTGTGCTGTGAACCTGAGCCTCCCCTGGTCCTCAATAATCTGATCTCATTTCTGCAAGGATGTTGTTGCCTGGAAAGCAATGTAGCAGCTGCTGCTGCATCAGGCATCGAGTGCTCGTGTTGACAGATGAATCCAGGAGCCAAATAGTGTAGCTGTCTGGATTCACATGCCATCTGCCCCACTCTTCTTAACCTAACCCTCTAGAAATGGTGGTTCTGAGTGTGAATCTTCTTCCCTCATTGATGCAGCTAGAGTCATTCTTGCTCTCACCATCCCACTGTGTGCCTCTCTTTTTTTTCAGACCACTGATGACTTGCTGGTGGCTTCGGCGGAGTGTCCAAGCGATGATGAGGACATTGATCCCTGTGGTGAGCCGAGCTCAGGTGGGTTAGGTTAGTCATCTCTTTTTTTATTCTACTTCTCTTTTGGTGTGTCAGTGTGTCTTTGTGTGTCACAGTCCACCCCCACCAAGACACTTAGACTAGCTCACAGTGTCTAAACGAGGAGATCAGAGCTAAACTTCACAGACCTGCATGTTCAACACTCTGCAACTGAACGGAGCCTTTTTATAGGAATCCTCAATCTAAGGGTTGACAATCTGAGCTTGGTTATCCGTTTAAGTTAAAGGCGATAAGAGTAGAACATAAAAGACGAGAACCTTTAGTAGTAAACACTTTATATAAAATTACAAATCTGTAAAAAAYTATATTATATAAGCTCTTTCAAGCAGGATAAATATACTGTATGTATGAAGCTTTTAGWAGTAAATCCCATTAGAAAAATGAATAAAATGTACTTTACAAAAGATGTTTTATTAATACAGAAATTAAAGTATAAAAACAACATTTCTTGGGTTATGAAGTAATTTTAGCAGAGACGGGGACTCAGTTCCAGAGGTCTATAGAGTACTACTTTTACACACACTCTAAGAATTAAGTTGTTGAATAACCAAACTGGTTCCCCTGAAACAAGTTGAGTAAACTGAGCAATATACACTATATTGCCAAAAGTACTTGGTCACCGATCCAAATTATTGGAATCAGGTGTTCCAATCACTTCCACGGCCACAGGTGTATAAATGAAACAACGAGCTGGAAATAAAGTATCAACCAAGTAACTTTAGGGTTAACGCTTTCTTTTACTGCACCCTTATTACCGTGTAATTACAAGGTAATAAAAATGTAATTAAATGTAATTATTACCTTATTACCATGTAATTACATGGTAATTAGGGTACAATTTTACTATGTAATTTATTGTCTGTGGTAATGTTGCACTTACCTGGTAATGTATTACAATTCACTATGTAACATCTAAATAAATAGAAGGTAATTTGGACAGTTTTAAAATTATATTTTATTGCAATTAACCACTAACCCCAAAATTTAGTTGCATTATTTTGGTTATAAATATAGTGTTGAGTTACTATTGAATAGTAACTTGATTGTAGTTACCCAATAAATGTAGTTTTACTAACAGTAATTTTTCTTTTATACCGTAATTACTACGCAATTGCATGGTAATAAGGTAATAATTACATTTAATTACCGTTTTTTATTACCTTGTAATTACATGGTAATAAGGTAATAATTACATTTAATTACCATTTTTTATTACCTTGTAATTACATGTTAATAAGGGTACCATAAAAGAAAGTGTTACCACTTTAGGTTTGAAACGCTCTGCGACCGAAGCTGGGCGTCGTTATTATCAAACTATCTACATGGAAAATTAAAAGTAAAAAGACGAAGCAACTGGACTTCTGTTCTAGAACTGTAAACACATGGAGCTACAGATTTAAACAGTGTGACTTGAGGTTAGCGTCTTATCGATCCTTCACCCCCGCCCCACTGATGAAAAAAAAAGTCGGATGAAATGTGACATGAGCGTTCACATCGCAGTCGCTTTGAAAACATCAGATARGTATCCAATTTAGTACCACATAAATCAAAAATGAAAAATCGAAAAATTCCCATAAACACACTCCTGAACCGTGTGGACAGCCTTCCCAGAAGAGTTGAAGCTGTTCTAGCTGCAAAGGGTGGACCATCGTCATWTTGAACCCTYTGGATTAGGAATGGGATGTGACCTAAGCTCATATGTGAGTCAAGGCGAGCYAATACTTTTGGCAATATAGTGTATTTACTCTAGGTTTAGTGGGACAAAGCAAATGTACTTAGTTACTARAAAGCTCTGCTCAGTTCAGTGAAAATACCTTACTAAAGGATCATGTTATTAGCTTTCTCTTCTGTTAGTTAATTGATTCATGAGCCTGATAAAGCTATGATTCTGTTGCTGTCACATCTATCAAGCTTTAATTGACCCAACACTGGTGTTTTTGTTCAAACAAGTCTTTCTGACCATTGCATGTAAATGTCCCGCCGCTTGATATTTTGCYCGCATTAAAACAGCTGATGTTAATATTTTATTTAWATTCTGCACCTATAGGAGTCGTTTKAATCAGTTCAATGCATTRGCTAATGAGCAAACAGGGACATTCTCATAGAGTAACCCCTACCAGTGGTAATTATGRAGCGTATGAGATTTCAAAACATCAACTTTAAAGGTAAACCCAGAGAGGACTACGAGCACAGATTAGATGTGAACAGGTTCCCCGCTGTTGGTAATTAAATTCTATCAGGCAGAGTAGGTTCATGTTGCAGTTTTTTTTTTACTACAGCTGAAAGCAACTTCCGTCAGAGATTATGACGTCGGGTTTTTCTCCTCGGAAAACAAACAGATCTAAAGATCTGTGCACTTCAACGCCCAGATAAAATTTKAGTCAAAATTTTGAAAAGGCACTTAATGCTTCTCCCAAAGTGTTTAAAACAATCTCTTCCCAGCTTCTCTCAGAGAAAGAGTGATTGTAAATCTGTTTGTTCCCTGCAACGCTTCCAAAACTTTTAATCTCTTTCTCTTGCCACACATGGAGGGCAATTAAGTCTAACCCTAGCATCTGTCTATGAAAAAAAAGGGATTTTCGAATGCGTTCTGAAGTGATGAGAAGCACAGAGAACAATTAAGTCCAAACTCAAGGCACCCCACTCCTTTTAAATGTGCTATTGATCCGTATGTGGTCATAAAACCTCCACTAAATTAATGTCTGCCTCACAGCAAAGACTATCTGCCATCAAGTCTGTCTCTCTTCCTGCTCTTCTGCTCTTCTTCMTGCAAGAGTATCTGCTATTTTTCTTTAATTATAGCCCTTCATATTAGTGTGATATGGCACTCTCACTAAAAGTTCTTCAAATGTTCATCTGATACCTCAGGCAAATACACAGTGGGGCCGTGTACCAATTCACACAAGCATCGTGGATTATCTTCTTTTTTTTTTTTTTGACAAGGGCATCTGCCAAAACATCAGTTGCAAACTATGTGATGCTTCTGGGATGCATCCTCCCAGCGCAGAGTATTTTTCTCCTTTTAAGAAGGGATTTGACACCGGAGCTGTGGCCTCCCCCGGGTGGCGGCTGTCTACCACTGTATCCTGATTAATATCTACATTCAGAAAGATTCACACGCTCTGCCAAACACTCGCCTCATCTCAGATTGAACGGATACAGTGTTGTTGATAAAGTATTACTTACTCGTGTTACTGTTTGACAGGCTTCTTTTAATGACACCAACAATGTCTTTTTTTTTTACATTTCGCCTTGACGGCCTTTTATGTTTGGTAACTCAAAGCTTGACGCTAATATCAACCTTGGCGCTCTCCCCTCTCAGCCTATAGATACACTACAATAATGTTGATGCATAAGTGTTCCCCGGAGGTGAGCTCTGAAACAGGCTATTATGTGAGCTATCTGTGATCCAAGGTCAGCTCTAGATCATCCTGTATCTCGCCGGAGTCTTGTCCCGCAGCAGCAGCTATCAGCACACTGAAAGGCATGAATTGGGTAAACTTACTCATTGCCAAGCTTTATAACCCTTACTTCCGGAAAGCATGAAGGAGCAGAGCTTATCACTCGACGGGACTCAGATTAGATCGCACTGCACCAAATTGCATCCTCCCCACTGGTTGAGGAAAACCACAGAGGAATACACAGGCTCGTGATGCTGCGACACATCTGATTTGTAACAAGAGGAGGGTTCAAGATTGTGCATATTCCCAGCAGCTAGGCTGTGACAGCTGAATAACATTAGGGCCATGATTACAGACGCGCCTATCTTTGTGATGCTTGTTGGGAAAAGTTAACTAAAGTAGTTGCGTTTCCATTGCAAATGTGCACAAAACTTTGTCGATATTCTGTTAATGTAAAAAAAACAGTTTCGCAAGTGCGGGGTTTCCACTAAGGAAGAAATGCTATTAAAGTCACACACGTTTGTTCTTGCAATAAGTCATTACAAACATGACGGCAATGGATGTAAACACATAGCATATTGCTACCGCGACACTAGCGCTCATCATCAGAGGAGACGTCAGCGTCTTTTATCGAGGCTTTCCAGATACAAGCCCCTACTTGGGAGCGGCTACGTATGCTGTGTTTTTGGGAAATTGTAGTCGGTGAGTTTACTACTTTATTTTACCACTTCTGTGATTTTACTACTACTTCTACTTACTGTTATCTCCTTCGTCCTCGTCTTTTCCACCAGTAGAAACAGCCGGTTGTTGATCATGTGACTCCCATGATGTGAAAAAAGTGTTTCCATTGCAGTTTTGCGAAAAACACCAATTTTGATACGGCCGAAAAACCACCTCATCCTAGTGCAAAAACATTTTGTCGAAAAACGTAATCTTTTTCAAAATTGACGTGTTTCCATTGAGCAAATTTACTTTCGAAATTCTAATTGGCGCATTTTCATGGTCAATGGAAACGCAGCTAGTTTAATAGTGTCCTAAAGGCTTCAACACACCTCACTGTTTTTTTAGAAATAATAATAATATGTAAACTATATGCATAGTGACTTCACCTCTAATGGAAATGTTGCAGTTTTACAAATACAAAGATTTCACTGCAGGCAAACAACTGTTTATTTAAGGCCTAATATGAAGTACTGGCCAATCACATGGAGAATAAATAAAAGCAGACTTGTCTGTGTGAAAATAGCCTAGTGAGCAGTGTCACTGATTTCCCAGCTCAAACCTAAGTTTTCATGGGGAAAGTTAATGGAAGGGGTTGTTGCTGAGCTGCATGGGGTCAGGTGGAACGGATGTCTCTTACCTACCTGCTTCGTTTCATTGGCGTCATGCGGGGCGTTGATAGGGGGGTGGGGGTGGGGGGTTGCTGCTGCACAGTGATCCATGTCCAAGGTTGTTTGGTTACATCCTACAGCTGCCTTTGTTCTAGAAAATTTGTTTATTTTTTTCCTCTTCTATCCTGAGCCAATTCTCCATAATAACTCAAATTCTAGGCAACACATACGAATGCTTCTTACACCTTTAGCTCAGTAT